TAATTATTAAACTACACATCACTATACTACTATAACATATATTATGAACCCTGAATTTTCATCTCTTGTGAAATTGTCGAACTTCTTTTGTCTACATCAAATGATCCTGATCACCACCTTTAGGCCTCCGTGGCAACCAGCAGAAGAAAACAAAACAATGACGACATGAAGACAACACTTCCATTAAAGGTCTAAGCACCAGAAGTCACTACCTCCACTGCTTTCTGATCTTGTACCAAGGTTCTAATTAGGACCAGGCGTTTTTTATATGATTAAATTATCACTGCCTGATGTTGGTACGCAGGCTATTTGATCACCCGATATAGACCACAATTTGGAGCAGGCAGATTTTAAGCAGCTTAGGAGGAACTTAATTAAAAAGTCAAGGTCAGTAAGTGCCCGAACAAACTGATCAATGTGCAGAGTACGGAGCAGATAGAGACCAAAAGAATCCGCAGCACAGTATCAAGTAAAGATAAGTATGCTATCTTATTACTCTCAAAGTTTCATACAAATGGATTTCACTGGTGATCTGCAAGTTAATCAGCAATTTACTGTGAGCAGGTTAAAGTTGACATTTTATAATGTTTATCAACTACATTAAATGTTCAAACCGCTACAAGAACGAAACACATACGATAAACAATGCTTTGTCACTCTTAATGTTTCCAACGATTTTCGTGTATTATGAGTCCTAATGACCGCAGAAACACTCAAAATCAATCACTGTCCAAAAACGATCCTGACAATAAAAAGTTGATCCCTCCATACAGAGAAGGCAGGTAACGGCTTTAACACAACAGATCGGCAGAAAATAGCCCTGGTACCGCAAATGGACCACACACACACACACACACACACACACACACACACACACACACACACACACACACGACACACACACACGACACACACAACTTTTTCACTTTTCACCAGTTAGACAACATATGGTTCCTTCGGTAGTTTACTGACCACTGGGGGGGACAAATATTTATAATAAATTATGAATGCCACATAAATAAAAAGTGAATAGAAATCTTCAACAAAGAGAGAAGAAAAACAAGTACAGAGATGTCAAGATGAATTCCATCGTATTGTAAAACAAATCATTTAACAGAATGCGACAACCTGAGCAGTCAAAACACTGTTCAAAGACAAAATACAACAAATTTCCATTGATGGATTCCCATCTGGTATTAGCTCGGCCCAAAGTGATATCTGGGCCCAATGTGACGATGTGCTGCAAATTGTGTCTTTGCCAAACATCAACTGCTTCAGTCTGTTTGCTAACGTCAGTTGTTGTTGTTGTTGAGTATAAACAGTGGGAGAACTGCTGGTGTGTTTAAACAGAGTTGTATTAAATAGCAGTGTTCCTCAATGCAATGAGAGGTTTCCGTTTCATAAGTCAGGTATTGTGCACAATCAAATAAACAGCTCGTAGACAACAAATGATAATACATTTAAAAGTTAGAAGTAACCATTGTTCTTCTCTTTTGAGATGACACAACTTCGTTAACGATGCTGTAGATGTTGGATAATAAATCAGCAGATTGCCATCACTCTAAAACCACATTTGAATATTAACGTTAAGCCAACAAAGCCGTGTTATTTCAACACAAACAAAAAGTCTGATGATTGACGAACGTTGGCTAATTTCTGATAATCTACTAACAAGCTAACGTCACCGCTAAGTAAGACTCCTTAAACAGACATCTAAGGGTCTTAGATAGTAATCGTTAAGATATTAGTGATTACGGTTTTACTTTATTATATATTTGCACAAGGCCTTTCACATAGCGTTAACAGTATCTGTCAGATAAGGATGGCTAGCGAAATGTAGCCACTAGCAGACGTCTGCAAAGCTAAAGTCAGCCATCAGCTAGCAATAAGCTAACTAACGTTAGCTAACATTAGACACTGAAAATAAATCATCTTCAGTGTTATATGTTTCAGTTAACTTAGTTACAAGCTTGCCAATAGCGGACTCTCCCTGCAATTACCGTTGTGACGTCTAATGAGCTCGTCGTATAGGTAACATTACATCCTCATATACTCAAAACATGGTTTTAATGTTTAGCTGTACAAGCCGCAGCGGAGCACTCACTGATACTTTAGCAAGCTAACGTCACAAACTTAGCCAAGTTAGCTTTTTTCCACTTGCTGCCCGCTAACCGGCTTGCAACTGCATTTAGCATAACTAGCTGCATCGCTAGTTGTCCGCCATCACCAAGCTAACGTTGGGTCTAACCGTTTAAGTTGAACGTGTAAGACGGACTTTAAAACAACTCGTTTTTTGACGTTCCGGACGGGTTTGTTCGAATAGACAACTGGCCGTTACCTCGTCCGCTGTTCCGCTCCGTTCCTACTCTCTGCGTCTATGCGGTTCCTACGTTACGGTTGTCGGTAACCGCGTAGGCCCGAGTCTGCTACGGCTGTATTGCCATCTCTGAGCAGAAGCCTCTGAGCAGAGAAACGCACGGTGGACACGCGCGCCACCCCAAATAATGCTGTGTAATAACACGGCGCACGAGACTGGGCCCAGTCAGTCGGTGTGGTGGACGTATGTATAATGGTGTTATTGAACAACCTCGTTCACCGTACGTAGCGTTGCTTTCAGGGTGATTATCTTCTGAAAGTGCGATTTAGAAATGTTTTTTTTGCTGTGCACAAAACAAGACACTATATGGTCTACTTGCCAAATTGAAGGCGAGCACATAATTTATATATGTTCAATCTATACCAATATATATGTTAAATCAATGTATGCACCTACCCTCAGTACATACATACATATGATATCCATATAAATTATCATATTGTAGACTACGCATATTTTATTTTATTTACTTCTGCAGCAGCGTTGCTCACGCCATCAAGCCACTTCTTGTCTGAGCTCATATTTTTCATATTTTGAATTCCCATTGCAAGGTTTGTTCAGGCGGTTTAGGCACAAGAGAGAGTTTTAAAAGCCAGAAATTATTTGTATTTAACAATTATAATTGTTAAGACAAATGTTAGATATAGATCAATAATGGTTTTAATAATGGAGTAGATGCAGTATTATTGTTTTGAGTAGTAATAAAAATGAGTAATCAAATCTGTCATGCTGATTTGCAGAGAGTCCTTTTTTAAATTGAACTGTTTTCCCCGCTATCTGTTATGTAAAAGTCCATCCTGGACTTCACGCACATTCATCTCTGAATTAGTGTTATGAACGACTCAGCCCCTTCATACATTATTGATGAATGGGCTGGTTGTTGCTGTTGAGTGTTTACATTCTCTTAATGCGATATCAATTGAATCACATTTGAGTCAAATGGGCCTTTAAGACTGCAGCCATGCTTTGCAAATCTTTTACATTTACATTTGATTGTCTTTTGCTGGCGTCTGTGTGTTTCAAGGTTTATCTATTTGTTTATCTATCTGTGTTTACAGCAGGTTTGCACAAGAAAATATAAATTGCACAAAGTAAAAATGCTGGTCCACTGTTCCATGACCAAGGCAGATGAGGCACTGTACTCCACGCAACAATGAAAATGTAGGTCCACCAAAACAGCACAACCATCCTGAATCTTTGGCATCTTAGGGTTAATCTCATCCACGCCTCGGGCCTCGCTGCTGGGTAGTATCTGAGCTACCTCAGGGACCACTGCCATGGATACAGGTGAGGATTACCGCAAGACTTTGACCTCTCCCTCTTTTGTAGAGGAGGCAATTGTCGGGTTCAGGAGTTCCTCAAAGTAAGCTGCACCGCTGGAGAAGATTCTCAGCCAGCTCACAGCATTCTGCTACGTAAAAGAAAACACAAATATCAAGGTGCCTCTGTTGCGTTTTCCTTTTGCTGCATGTCATCACCTCTCTTATTTTCCCCTGCCTTTCATATCTCTCTCCAGGCTTTCACTATCAATGTATCAAAATGATAAGATCATCAAAAAATCATTAAAAATGAAAGAAAACACAAATTAATCAGCGTTTGGCAATTGAAAAGATGATACAGAAATGCTCTCAGGCAATGTTTTCAATTCTTTATGAATATTATCCCTTTATGAATGTTACCCCTGCGGAAAAACATGCATACAGAAATGATTTACCTGGTAAGTGGTTGAGTGTGATGGGCTACAACGTCTGCAAACGGTATAAACAGGAATGTGACAGCACTTTGTGACATGTTCCAAAACATGTTACGCAGTAATAGTGGGTTTGAAACTATTTATTTTACTTTTTTTACTATAAGGTATCTGATTGAACTGCTTCCACACAATTACCTAATAGAGTGGAGAGATAATCCTCAATTACAATATCTATTTGATGAACTGTGAAGAACTGTGTGTGTGTAATTACCAGCAGAGAGCACCAGATAGACACTGAACACCCAACATGTCCTCTTTTAAATTGGTTCAAAAGCTCATACTTACAACTGGAACGCCTCAGAAGGATAAATAATTTATAAGCAAGAGTGTGAAATCTATAAACTAAATGCCAACTCATTCCGTCATAAAGATCACGCCAACTCATATCACAAAAAACACAACAAAAAGAGTTAATTTGCCAGCGTTAGGCAAAAGTGTTGAAGTGCAGAGTTGAAATCACACTGCAAAAGGTTGATTCAACTAGTCATTACCCAGTGTCAAGGACTTGGGTTTTTAACTCTACATAGAGGGTATTTAACACTGATCTGATTTATTTGCGACACTTAGTAGTTAATTTAACTCTTTGATAGGTTTGAAATGTAACTGTACATCAGTGTCACACATCTTGGTGTTGGCTTCTCTAGTGTATTTAATACTGAGCAGATTTATTCGCGACACATATTCCTAGTTAAATTGCGAACACTTCGTTGAGTGTTGATTTAACACTGACAAGATTGGGACCATATAAACACCAGCTTAGAGTTCAAATTGACTCTGACAGAGTCAATTTAACTCTCATGGTCGACATAAGACCATGACCCCCTTTAGTTAATCAATCCAACAAAATAAACATGCAGTAAATGCTTTGTGGAAGTTCTATTCTTTGTATTGTATTACAACAAGTTAAGCTAAGAAGACAGGTACAAAGAGAGTTTAATAGAGGAGATGTCATATTGTGTCATTTCATTATGGTTTGACACATGTTGTGTGTCTGCAGTGATTTTTCCCGAAGATATAGAAAAGCACAGTCCAAAATGAATTAAGTCAATAGTGGGCTGCTGTAAAATTTGTTTGTATGTAATTCATTTAATTGGATAAAGCTCTTGAAACAAATTCACACATTATGAACATAATTATGTCAATAAAGGAAAACAATTGAAACAATATATATGTGGTCACATAACACAAGTGCAGAAACATCCAAGAAATTAAACAAAATAGAAACAATAATGATAAAGATAATACTGATAACATACAGTAGAAGAAATTCACATAACAGTGAATTGAGTTTTAGCTTGTAAGCTTAAGTGTAGATACATTTTCCAAGCAGCTTTCACAAGAGGTATACAAGCTGGGTTAAAGTTTCTGTTTCATTTGAGATGCTGACTGTGCGATGATGCTTATCTTGCCACACATGTGATGCATCATCTTTTCTGTTGAGGGGATTAAACTCATAACCCAATGGTGGCGGCTTGAGTGATACTATCTGTATTCGTTGGCCTGTACTGTGAGTTTGAGTCGTTTTTTTAGTGTTTTTTGTCTTCTCCATTGGTATTACGCGGTTGTCCGGCGGCAGAAGCAGATTGCGTTGAAGAAGCGGCAGTGGCATGTGGCGTTTGTGTCACAGCAGCCAAACTGGGGCAAACAGCTTCGTGTTAGCTGAGAGCAGGTAGGCTTCAGCGGTTTGAAAGCCGCTTTAGAAGCAGGAGGAGCGCCCTTTGGTGCCACTTTGAGCTTCTGTAAGGTGGAGAGAAAGGAAAACAGTATTTAATATGGGAGCATCAAAGTGCTATGGTAATATTTCCCAAACTGTCCAATGATGTTTTAAAAGTGTGTGTTTAGCTTATTGAGAGCTAAAAACTCTTAAAAAAAGCTTTCAAAGGTGAAACAACAATACTTGTATTATTACTATTCATTGTGAAGCCACATTGGTCTTTATTAACATTCACATCTTGGTCTCAAATCTGTGAAACAAACAAATGAAACTATGTGACACAGTGATGTATCAGATAACTGCAAAATGGAGCCGAAAATGTTGACTAATTTTCAAATGGATTTTCCAACTGAGATCATACATTTACTGTATAAACGACAAAACCAAGACCAAGACCATTGAAGATAATTAAATGATGGATTGCTGAGCAGAAAGGCTTTCTGTTAACTAACATGTCAATGCTCAATGTGACAAGAACATAAGCCACACACGTCGTATCTTACCGGTGCTGGAATCCTTTTTCTTTCATACTGTCCTCTCCTCGCAAACAACGGCCTCTGTCTGCCTTGGATTACAGGCCCTGTTAAAGCAACAGATGGACTGTTTTTAGTAGTAAAGTAAAAGTACTCAATATGCAGAATGGACCCTGTAAATGTTACATTATTAACTCATTTAATGAAATGTGTTTTTAATTAATATAATATATAAGCTGCGGATGGATCAACTTATACTGTCTGGTAGTCTATATGCTCACTCACACCGGTCTGTTTGTTTGACCATGCTCATCTTCTAATGATTAATTGTGTGCATACAGGGTGAAGGCTGCAATAATATATGTACAGGATGATGTGTATAATAGACCCTATATTAAATATTTTAGATTTTATTGAGCAAATTGACGGAAAAATATAAAAGTGCAGAAATGCCCTGGATTTTAAAAACAGAATAATACACTATAGCTGTATCCATATTACATATGTAATATTTGTATCCGCAGTGAACTAAATAATAACTAATATATCTGCTGCTTAAACAACAAATGGGACATATTTTCAAGTTGTTAACCTGAACACTAATCTTTTTTGCATTCAGAATCTGCAGGCAACAGGAGAAGATTTGGGCGTCAAAAGCGCTCTGGTTTTCTTCCGTATTTAAAGTAGTATTGAAAAACCACCTTCGGGCAGGCTTTGGTTGATTCTGTCTGTATGGAGAGCAAAAAAGACTGAATTGGAAGAAAAAAGAATGAATTGGCCCAAATGTAATGTGGGGTGTCTGACGAATAAATCCTAATTAACTGCATGGTTACATGATAATAGATTAATGCCACTGCAAAGAGTATAATTAGATATTAAAACCTGTGAGAGATTTTTAAATCACTTCCTGTCCTTCAGTTGTTCAATTTAACTATCAAATAGTAGTTTTTTTTCCTTAATGAAAGGATACGAGGGGACATTTACAAGCACGCTGATTACATGTATTTGAATACAGAAGGTACCCTAATTATTTCTACTTTATACTAGTTTATTTAATATTTAGACTTCAAAGCTTGGGTTGGTAATCAGCAAAAACAGACCAGTGTTGCTCACCCTTTTCCAGTGAAAGTAACAGTGGACGGCTCAATCTGTCAAGACATTCACCAAGTCAGCAACACAGGTCCTCCGTTCAGACCCCCCTCCAAAGCCACCTCCCAAAAATGACCTTGATGAATGTTAACAATGAACATGGCTATTGTTCGTACTCGCAGCTATGATTGAAATGAGTGCGAGGGTCGTCTAACTTTAGGCATCATAGAGGCATTCCGCAAACCAACGGGTGAAGTCACAATAACTTCTTATGTGCGGTCAATGGACTCCGCTGCCGACTGTGACAGAGGGACAGCAGACTCTGAATGAATACTTGCTATGGCTCATGTATACAAAACATCTGCGTCGGCACTGTGTGGCCTTTTGTTATATTAACTACAAAAGGGCTCGTAATCACATCTCTCACTGCGGCCATTTGTGGCCGATCTTACTCGTCTCGCAGTTCACTTGGGGCCTACTCATAGAGGTGGAAAAAGGAAGAAAAAACACGTACTGTGAGACCATGTTATTGTTAGGTTATTGCCGCACATGATTCCAACACATGTTTCCAATCCCCTACACGTTAAAGTTGCTGTGAGGAGCACAGCGGCTCCCGCTTGGAGATCATGTTGTGCCTGTCTGACATTTTGTGAGTTTCCATTTTAACTCTTTTAATATGATTACTTTGGCGCTACTGGGTTTAGTCTGACTGTCTTATCAGCCCACAGTGCAACCCTGCAGTCAAAGCTCTGGAGCATAGGCTTCAAAACCGATTGATTTATTACCTGTATATTTTCATTGTAAACATATTCTATGTAAGGGATGTTATGCAATATAATTTTATGACCTGTATTATTGGCAAAGTTTGTGTAGCCGACACACGTAATGTACAATAAAGTAAACGATGGATAATAAACCATACATTGTGCCAGATGGAACATTTTGTAATCAGGCTGAAATAGATCCATTTGAACTACTTTGGTCCTGCTGAGATTGTGTTGCCTTTGAAAGTCTACTAATAAGGCATTTCAGTAGTAGTCTCACCATACTAAAGACAAATACTGTGCATATATTTGGAAGTTCACAATGAAACATTATTTAATTGTTCATGCTGTTGCCTCCTACTATATTTTCAATGTAGGGTGCGATATCTATTTATGCCTTTTTATTTACACTGTCAAAATATTCCAAACGAAAATCACCTGCGCTGAGGGGCCGCGTCTTCTGCGGAGCTTTGGCCCTGCTGACCGACACGCTGCTCCGGCCTAGGCGGGGATCGCCGCCGCTGCTCTGCCCCGCGCCGACAGCGATCAGATGCACGACGCACAGGCACATGACAGCCAGCTTCATCCCGGCTGGATCCCAGCTGCTGCTCCTCGGCGCCGCGATGGAGCACCGCGGAGGGAAAAGACGCGCCTGTTGCTTCTTCGCCAGCAGCAGCCCGGTTCCTGCATCCGACTGCGTGCGTCTGTCTCTGCGGGCCGCAGTTTGTTGGAAAGGCAGTTTGAGGAGCACACGCCCCCCGTCCCCCGTCCCCCCTTTACGCCTCCACGCAGTACAATCAGCCGTGTACAAAAGGGGGATATCTTGGATATAACACGAAGAAATAATCATGTCTCTTTGTGTCAAATGGAATATTTCTGTCATTTTCTTTTATTCTGTTTTGCTCTCTCTCATAGAAACTCAATTGTGGTTCTACCTACAGAGACTATAATCTGGTGACATGCTTAAACTAATTTGCATCTGTATTCCCAAAGCAGGTCATAACAGGAATAACATGATAACCAGCAATGAGCAGCTTATATGATTTCTATTTAAAAAGCGCTGATAGAGCTGCAGCTCTTCACCACGTCAGAAAGGGTGTTCTACTGTGTTTGTGGCTTCTACAGAAAATGATAATTGCACTGAGCGGTGTGGCGAAATGGAATTGTGCAGCCGTATGATATTCTGAAGGAATTTATTGAGCCGCTGTAGTCATGAGGTAGAGGGACACACCGTTTTGACGTCTATTGTTCTCTAAGCTCAGTAAATTGTATTCCTCCAAGGCCCTACAGTGAGGGAAATCATGTGGCTTTTTGTCCAATGTATTTAGATTTTGTTTTTATAAAGATTCAAGTGCTTATGGTTGATAGAACTTGATTTGTAGTTTTACTGAACATTTGTAATACATTAGTGTATTGGTATTAGTATTTAGTGTGTCATTATTGGTTGAGTACAGCTACAAAGAAAACATTTAATCAAATGAATTTGATCCAACCATATATTTGCTTAATTTTTATAAGATTTGTTTTTCTTTTTCTTCAGAAAGTCAATGCACAGATGATTGTTTCGTTTTTTACCAAAGAAAATATAAATAAAGTTGCTGTTGATCTAAACTCTAATAATAAGATAAGGCTTGAGCACAAGGACAGAATATAAATTAGTAAAAGAGAAAAAAACGGGCCGTGTTCTTTGATTCATGGTCACGCTGTTCAGTTTCTATGAGTCAACATCAGAAACCAACCTGGCATCGTCATCAAATATCTCCACCCTGATAAAGCAAGGCCATACATGGCTTTTTTTCTTGAAGAAACGTGAGAAGATAATATAAATTGTACAACTTCTAAAGAGAAGCAATCAAAGGGTTCTGAATAGAACATTATAAATTCTTAGGGGATGTGCACGTCCCAGAAAAGGAGAGCTCTACAGGCGGTGAATTAAAAAGTCCAACATCTTTGCTCATTAGCCTCACCGCCAGCTTTCTGAGCAGCTTCCTCCCTCAGGCTGCCCGACTCCTAATTCACCCCTCACTCTCCACATGAAACAGTTGTTTTGTTTTTTGGATTTAGAAGAATGGGACAACAAATTGCATTTGGCACTTTACCATGTAGTACAACAACCTTGTAAACTGCCCACATAAATGTGGGCTGTTTTGTAAAAGCAATACTACAACATAACATCTATTCACAGACTCTCAAAAACTTAGTGCATATTCCAGGTCTTGTTTATCCAGTTCAGGATAAATAGAAATAAATACATAAAAATCCAGTTAAATATGCATTTAAAGTAAAGATGAACGTGTTTAAGAAGCATAGTGAACATACGGACAGCTGAGGCCTCACTTTTATAGTCAGCGGTTAAACAGAACCCCCATTTACATCCATAATCATGTCTCTTGTCTGTCTTCTGATTCTCGAATTATTGTGAAAGTATGTGAGAAGTTTCTCTCAGGAATTCAAGTCAACCTGTTGTGAGTTATTTAGATATAAATGGTCACTTTCGGTGAAGTTTTTGAGTACATACGAGGGAACAGGACAGAGGTGTGATTAATGGAAAGTGAGACCATTTGGACAGCTCTTCTCTTAGAAGGCCGGCCCGGGTGGCCTGAAGACAATAATTCCTTTACTGAGGATACATTCATCCCCGCCCACATGAGCGTTTCAGCACCGCTTAAACAAATGATTTATGTCCATAACAGCTCTCTGTTGTTTACATGAAGTGGATTGCTTGGATACAGAAAATACGATTATACTCTTTAATAATGAAATATCGTGTTTCATAGATCATCCTGTATATTTCCAAAAACACACACTCAAACAGACATGTTAACTGTCTCTCGCAAACTCAGAAAATTCACCTACAAGTCAGAGTTTAAAGCATATTGGGCCAACACGTCTCTCACTTGTTTGCTCTCTGTTTTGTTTTGTTCTCTTGTCTGTTGTCACACTCGTAGCTCTGCCAGGTGCCTCGCCAGAACACAGAACACCATTTATTGAACAGCTTTTTTTTCGCAAAGAGGAAAGTCCATTGCCCTTCTCAAAACCACAAACTTCAAACGTTAGGCGTTATCGGCCTATAAGGCTGCTCGCAAAATGCCCCACGAAACCCCTCCGAAGTAGTGCAGTGAAGATCGTAAAGCCCTTAGAGGCAATCTTGTGATTTGTGTTTTAGGGCTGTACAAAGTAAATTGCATGGAAAATTGAACATTTTTAAGTTTAAAAGTTCAAGTCCAGCAGCGGTATCCGGCCTTTGTAAAGAGAAAAGTATAGGAATTAGTACTGTTCTAATAATTATGTTATTGACTAAATCATCTGAAAAAGTACAACGATGAATGTAATTTGTATTATTATCATTGGTTGTTAGTTTATAGAAGTTTACGTATTTATTCATTTCTGCAGAATCAAATAAATATCCCATTGCTATTACTTTGTAACAGAGACTTGCTGCCAGCCAGAAAACAACAACAAACTTTACATTCCACACCTGCGTCTCTCAACCTGTTTGCACAACATCTGTTTCACAAGCTGGCGCTTTTGTAAAAAAAGGGATATTGGAAAGAGACAAGACCTTCTGAACTGAGGCACTCGATGTTGGCACTTCAAGGACTCGGATGCAACTGGAAAAATAGCAGGAAGGGGGGTTCCTGACAGTGGTGCCCAGCGGTGCTTCAAAGCCAACGACGGAAACCTTTACTCCAATGAATCTTTTAAGTGTGTGGATGTTTATAGTGAAGGGCTAAATTAAGAACACTGCAAAGGCTGTGTTCATGATCCTTTTGTTCTTAAGACCATCACCAAACTGCAGTGTGGTGGCAAAGCATTGTTAAAGGTTAGGGCTTTCTTTGCAGAAGACGGTTTCTTGTCATTCAAAGTCTTTATTGTCCAGATTCTGGTCATCGTTGACTTCCTCATCTTCTTCGTGTAGAAAATTACACAGTAAGGGCTTGCTTCACATTAAAGGAGTCACAAATGACAGGGTGAGGTATTTGTCTGATGTCATATTCGTCACAAGTAGAGTGAAAGGCCTTTGATATTCTTTTCTCCTGTGTGGGTTCCCTTGTCGTATTGCCTCTTGACTTTCTGCAACAAGGGATTCTACCTTTGAGGTCGTTGTCCTGCGACAGAGAAGCGTGCACTTGAAGAGAGAAGAAGAACTGGTTCTCTGTGATTGAAAGAGGTAATGATAATATCCCTCTGTTTTGGATGGGTTGTAGATGTAGATCTCCACCAACGACTTTCAACTCCCCCCAGGACCTCCCGAGCCGCCAGTGAGCTGTTCCAGTTCAGATTATATGAAGGCAAATCTGGTGGCAGCCTCAAGTTAAAAAAGGTTGAGAACCCACGGTGCAGTGTGGGAGGTCTTATTATTTTTAAATATCGTAATGTGTGCATGTTGTCACATTAGAGAGAAGAACATCTGTGAGGTTTCAACTTGCCGTGATGCAACCAAATTACAAATTATTTAGGATTGTAAACAGGACGTCATTTAAAAGTTAACTTTAACCAACCTGGTTCTTTGGTTAAAAACAACTGGAGAGAAAAACATACTTAACTCAACATACTCGCTTTTTGAGAGTTCAGGGCGACTCACAAAGGACATTTGTGTGCGAGATATTTAGTTTGGGGGCTCGTGGTCTAGAAGAGTAAGCAGATTATATGTGATTCAAGCTGTCCTCCACCAAGAGTCAAATACCAAAGAAAACGTTTCAAAGATTTGCGTGTAATGCCAAATGCCAAAAATATCAATATAAGAGAAAATGTTTTATTTTTCAGCGGAACATTTCTTTCCGTGCCGATGTTTCCTTTTACTGTCACCAGAAGTCCTTTGCGATTTATAACGTGTTTTTTCAAGCAGTGAAAAGTGATTTGATGTGTAAAAAATGAATTTTGTGTTCCCTTGAAAATATATTTCAAAAACACAAAAATACTGGACACTTAGGTAGTTTAAATTCACTTACAATTTGTGAATTAGACTTACATATCTGAAAACATATCGATTATGCTTAGAAGATCTTTGACCTCTTAATCTGATGGATCCCAACACGTTTGATGTATTTGCTGGTGCCAAAGGTTTCTAAAGGACTGCCTTCGTTGCTGCATAACTCCCCTTGATGACCTCAGGAATATTATGACATTCCTTTTTTCCTTCCAGAAAACCAGATATTTCTTCAACAGAAGAACATGCTACCCTTATATTAGTCATTTTAATTATAATACTAATAAATGATGCAATGGTGGCTTGGTTCGATTTAGGGCATCAGCATCTAAAAAGGGGCCTTTGTACCAGATTACGTGACTGTAAAGCAGAAATGTCAAATTTTGTTAGTTGCACACGAGTCTGACAAAAATACATACTTTTAAAGGTGTATTCTCTATTAAATGTTTCTATGAGAATTTAAGGAAAAACAGTGCAATTTTATTGTAACAAACCTTATTTCCATACAAGGGCTGTTAAAAAGAAATTATATGATTTTAATATAATATTTTAAAGAGGAGTCCCATAAAGTTTTTAAGAATCAAAAACAGCACGGCTCTCGCTTTTATGTGTCCACTCCCATTATATGTGATGTTTCATAGCTGTTGGCAGGAACTGAATATACAAAAACACCACCTTACTTGACTGTCGAGCCAAATTTGACCCAGATGTTTAATTCAAACACAGAATCCTAAATTTCTTTTATAAATATGACACAATATGAAAGCTACTTTTCAAAAAAACAAAACTTAAATAAAAGACTAAATACAACCCT